TTGTTGTTGTTGTTGTTGTCGTCATTGTTGTTGTTGTTGTTGTTGTTGTTGTTGTTGTTGTTGTTGTTGTTGTTGTTGTCATCGTCGTCGTCGCTTTTGTTGCTGTTGTTGTTGTTGAGGCTCTGATACATTGTTGCCTGCTTGGATGAGATGTGCAGCTTGTGGTTCCCATGGGAACAGAAAGCGACAGTTGAGGGGCCATTTGAATCCTAAGGGAGAGGATTGTGCTGTGCGATGGGCGTGCTAGATCCGAAGTGACATCGAGAGGTTGACAGATATATTGGTGTGATTGTCAGCACGAAGGCACTACATTTTCGTGGTGGTGGTGGGCTTTTGCATGGGTGGTGAAGGGCATAGCGATGGAGAGGGGCACTGGGTCTCAGTTTCGCTTTCTGCCAAGGGAGACGGCGGAGATGGAAGCCTTATACAATTCATCAAGCAACGGGCAGTTGGGACGGAGTGATGTGGAGGCCCTTGCAGCCAAGTTCAGCGCTGCGCCTGAGCGTGCAGGGCAAAAACCCATCACGTGTAAACAGGTACTCAACTGGTTTCAGTACAAGCGCCACAACATGAGAATGAGGGGAGCTCTTAAGAACGACAGCGAGCTGCAACAGCAAAAACAACAACATCCAGCATCCAAACAGCCATCTTCAGATGGTCTTGCACGGACAGTTAAAGAGGAGACGCCTACGCCTGCTTCTTCTGGTACAGGGGGCAGAACCAAGGCACAAACTAGTGCTGCCGCTCCAGATATCAGTGCTGCTGCTGCTACCTTCATGGGTCGACAAGGTCAGGGGGGAGTTCTTGCAAATGAATCTGGAGGAAGAGGGGTTGTTCCAGCTGCTGGGACTGGAGATTCCATCAGAGTGGGGGGCTTCTCAGCCCCCACCGGTTCTGGACTGCCAGCCCTTCCGCAGTACATGGACTATGAAGCAAAGTCCGCGAGGGATGGAGCCTGGTATGACGTCGAGAAGTTTGTGGGTTGGCGCGACAATGAATCTGGTGAAAGGGAGGTCAAAGTGCGATTCACGGGGTTCGGACAGGAAGAGGACGAATGGGTGCATGCTGATCTAGGCCTTCGACAGCGATCGCTGCCCTGTGAGGGTTCAGAGTGCATTGGAGTTCTCCCGAATGACCTTGTCCTTTGCTTTCAAGAAGGTAATGATCAAGCCCTTTATTATGACGCTGACGTCTTGGATGTCGAGAGACGTCAGCATGATGTTCGGGGATGCCGGTGTCGTTTTTGTGTACGTTATCGTCATGATCTGCAGGAAGAGATTGTGCCGCTCCGAAAGATTTGTCGTCGCCCAGAGACAGAATACCGGCTTCACATGGCTCGAATGGGAGGCCTCCCCTTGCAGCCATCACTAGCTTCGGCCGCTGCAAGACTTGCAATGGCCCCCTTGGCAGCACATCAAGTGCAGCAGCAATTGCAACAACAGAAACGTCAACAATTGCAGCAACAGCAGCGCCAACAGCAGCTGCTTCTGCAGCAACGAAAGAATCAATCGCTTGCAGTGTCCGCCGTGCCAGCCGTACCTCAGATACTGTCCCAAGCAACGGTAGCGCCAGGGGCCGCTAGCGATGGAGCAACTTCTTTGGCTATGCCTCCCACACATCTTCAAGCAGCCCTTGCTTCGATGCCCTCGGTGCCGACTCTGGTGACTTCACCAACGCCATTTCCACTGCCTTCACTCTCCTTGCCTTCACTGGCACCCGTCGTGAGTGGCAGTGCTCCACAGCTGGGCTCTGGTGCTTCTCCTCCTCCTGCTGCTACTGCTCCAGCCTTCCTCTCCACAAACATCAATGGAGGAGGGAATGGGACAACTGCTATCGCTGGAGTTGTGGCCGATACTCTATCTTCCATGTCGTCTGCATCTGTGGCTTCGACCAGTCCACTTACGCCCGTCACTGCATCCTCCTTGGCATCTCTTCCTGCGGGTACAGCACCCGCCAGCACAGCTGGAGCATCGCTTTCCTTGGGAACGGGCACGCTTTCTCCCGGGCAAAACCTTTTTTCTGCAGGTAAAAGCCAACCCACGGCGACAGCATCAGCGAAGGGACCGACAGGTGGCAATACTTCAAACCCTGCAGCGATGCTTCCCTCGGCTTCAGGATCATTGCTGCAACAGGCTGCTGTATCCGTGTCTGACGCCTCTGCGAGTAATGGACAGGAGACCGCACCAGGATTGAAGAGAGCTAGACCAGACATGCTGGGCGGTAGCGGCACAGGAAGCTCGTCCACTGGGAGTAGGGGCCGTGGGTTCCTTGCTGCTGCAAGTGTGGCAGTGTCGAATCTTACGGCAGCACTTCAGCAAACAGTCGCAGGCTCTGACGTTTCTGGGAACAAGGTGGTTGATGGAATGACAGAACTGAAGCGAGTTAAGCTGGAGCGGGGGGGTACGATGGCAACACCGGCAGGGTTGGGTGCAGCCCATGGTGCCGGGTCCGCAGCAGCCGCCTCTGGAATCATGCAATCTATGTCACCCTCTCTGAGTCAATTGTCTATGAGCGGTACTCCCACCGTAGGCAGGGGCCTGATTTCGACTGGCTCTGGCATGGGTGCAACGGGTTCTCAGCTGGTTGGAACAAAGTTATCATCACATCAGTTGACCAGGACTGGTCCGCTCGGTAGCACGATGCCCTCGGTAGTTGCGGCACCCGGAAGGGTGGTTCTTCCGCAAACAATGGGGAGTTCTGAGAGCTTTGCCAGCAGGGCATCGGACAACAATTCCAAGCGACTCAGAATCGACAATACAGGATTAGCATCGATGGGATCGGGAGCGGTTGCAACTCATGCATTCTCGTGGGCCCCTGCGGGTATGCAGTCCCTTATGGGGGGGCCATTGATGAAAGGGTTAAATAAGGGGGGGGGCCCTCTCACTGGGGGCCAAACAGGAGTAGCCAGGTCCGTCTTAGGTAGCGGTTCTCCGTCATCAACACAGACTGACAGGATTGGCCACTCTTTTGGCAGCTCGGTGCCGTTGACATCAGCAGGAAACCCTGCTCTTCCTCAACAGGCGGTTCCTAGCAGTGTTGATATGCTTAGGACCAGGGTTCAGGACGCGAGGACAGGGGTTAAGAAATCAAGGTCTGGGCCGGACAGCATGGGCATGACACCACTTCCATCTGCGGGTCCGAGCGGCCCTGGGCCGCATGGGAATGGGATCCACAATCCTCCAGTAGTAGGCTTGAAGCGTCCGAAGTTGGAGATGGTGGACTCAGAAAGCATGACAGTGGGGATGGCTAGTGAACGGATATCGGAAACAATGTCAGTGGCGATGATGGGGTTGTCCTCTGCCGCAGGAGAAGCTGTTGGTGTTACTGCGAATGGTTTTCCTGGCTCGTCAACGAGACTGGGTGGTGGTGAGGGCATTGCCATAAGGGGTGTTTCAGGAGGAGCTGGGGCACAAGGGGGAAGAGCAGGAGGTGTAGCAGATGGTGTGGGTACTTGTGCTTCGTTGTCACTTCACAGTAGTGTTGCGGGATGTCCTCCAGGTTCAACACCAGCTTCCTGCGCTGGAATGGATGCTTCCATGGATGCTTCCATGGCAGCAAGCACTGCGTTCCCCGTCACCTCTTCCCTGCACATCCCTATGCCTTCAGGTGATACTGGATGTGGCAAAGCGAAGAACCCAACTTGGACCGAGTCCCCCAGGGATTTTTGTCTCGCTGATTCGCTGTCTCCTTCGATCACAACGAGTCCAATGGTGCAATCCTCTGCAGCTATGGACTCCAATTTACCCACCTTGGCAGTGGGTTCATCTGCTTCTGATGATCCTCTGCTGGCAAAAGGAAATTTAGTCCAGGATGTGGCACAGCTAGGCTTAACTCAGCGATTGGAGACGTCAGGTTCAGCTTCTTCTTGCGAAATCCAAATGTCTGGCAATGCAGACCGTAGTACTTCCAGCATAACCGTAGCTCCTTCGTCATCCAGTTCTTCGCCGCCTCCTGCTTTGTCTGTTAGTGGAGGCAACGTAATGCAGTTTGTTGTGGAATCTCCAGACTGACGTGCACGAGCTAGTCGTGGCTTGTTTTGTGCATGTCGTTTCTGTCTTGTTGCGACTCGGCAATAATGCAGTTTTCGTACGAACTTTTAGACACCGTGCCACATTTCTTCCTCGGACCAGGAATGTGGCTTTTTTCGTACCTACAGGCTGACCGAACGGTACACACATGTAACTGTTGTCCTACCGATCATGAGTTCAAACTATGTAAGATACAATAATTTCAGGGGCCTACCCTGTTTGTCAAAAGGAGATGCCAAGATGGTGATTCTGACATGCAAAATATCTTCTTTGTTGACAGTCAAGTATGGGGAAATACAGCGGGAAAGAAGCTTGAGCTGGAGCTTTCTGGAACTGCAAATGAAATGAGGGTTGCGTCCATAGTTGATGCGTGCCTAAGTAGGTATAATAACTTGATTGCTGCCCCTTCACAATCTTATTTCGGAATGATGGTCTCTTAGAACTGCAAAAAAAAAAGAAAAAAGAAAAAGAAAGAAAAGAAATAAAAAGAAAAAAAAAGAACTGCAAAGGTTGTCAATTTTGTTTCTGTTATTCCCCACGTACAGTTACTGACTGAAGTGTGTAATTTTCATCGTCGAATTTTCCGCAATTCCCTGACCTTGTCTGCTTTTTTTTTTTTTTTTTTTTTT